CTACACGAGCTCTTCCGATCTCCCGCGCTGTCATGTAAGATCAGTATGATGTGTGAGTACAATCAAATGATATCAGAGACAGAATTCCCCTGCCTGGGATGCGCGTTCTCTGACAATTATAAATGCTGGGTCGGCGAATGGTGCGGCAAGTTAGCACCATGTTTTTAAGCCAAGCATAATTGCCTGAATCCCACCTCAAACGTTCTGACTGCCCCCGCGAGGCCGTCATGCACTGAAAGGGAGGTGAAACGACGTCAAACGCTGAGGTTAACAGAAGTGACGATGACGGGAGACTGGTCTGGATTGTCTTGTGGGGATTTACGCTTAAATGATAGCGCTGAAATCATTCGCTGTTTTTGGAAGGTGATCAATCACAGCTGCTGCATCAGGCACAAAAATCTCAAGGAGTCGACTCCTGGCGCTTAGCTTGTCTGGCACGTTGTGGGTCTTTGACTCTGCATAGTAGATGACGCTATTCAGCCCCATGATGGGGTTCGAGAATCGGTTGTTCTGATAGCTTTGCGTCGGGTGTCGCGCCTGTAGGGCTACCGAAGTGAGTTATCCGTCTCTCAACCAGCAAGGCCATGTCAGTACGTGTCAGGAGGAGGCACAGTCCGGCCTAACCACTTCACATGCCTGATTAAGGCAAGTTGGAGAGCAAAGGATTGACTTGATCCACCCGGACTGCCCGACTGCTACCTGAGTGCTTATTCTTCATAAACCTATGCGGCAATGTTCCACTTTCGAAAGCCAAGCTGGCTTGTTGCCGAGGCCAACGTCAGCTTGCCAGCCTGGCGTGTTGTCACCCACCACCTAACCCAAAATACGACTGGCCATCGCCTTCGTCGTAGTCTAGGTCCGAAACGGTCGGCCGCGATTTGACAAAGTTCCTTGACATCCCGGTTAATATAGCCCCTTATCTTTGCTCATGCTATCCCGGCGAGGATGACATACCACATATTTTATTCAAGGCCGACACTAGCCGATTGTTGAACCGTAAAGTTCTCACTTGGACCCTCATTGCACTCACGAGTCCACGTCTAGAGTCGTAGTCCTGGTCACAATCTATCATGACATGCCAAAACGAAGACACTTTTGGGCCCGTCGTTCGAGGCTGCCGGGATGGGTTCGATTTCACCCTATATTTTGAGGAAGTAATATTCGAGATATTGCCCTCGAGCATCTTCCTCGTGCTCGGGGTTGGGCGATGTTATTGGTTGCTCAAAAAGCCAAACCTAGCCGAAGCTTCAACGTTCTTATGGGCAAAGTTTGTGAGTTAAACTTGCACGGAAGACGAAGCACACTGACAAGGATCGCAGAGTGTCATTTCGATCTTCATCGTTCTTCAGCTATCGCAGTTGGTTCTCACAGCTCAACATATATCAGACTTCGTTGAGCCGTCAGTTGCTTCTGAGGCTTTGAGACTCGTTGCATCGTTCGCGATTCTGTTAACGTCATGTATAGAGCACAAAAAGACAGCCAGGCCTTCTTTGTTGCTGGGTTGTTTCATTCCAGTGACACTTCTGGTCGACATAGTGCGGGCCCGCACTCTCTGGCTTGTAGCCGAGGATCATGGTGGTCATCATGTGGCGGTCGCCAGGTTGGCTGTTGTCCTGGCGGTGCTCAAAGGCTTCATCCTCATAACAGAAGCCCAACAGAAAACCCATTCTCGCGAGTGGAAAGCTCATCATAGCCCTGAAGAAGCGAGCGGCATCTGGAGCTTGTCAACCTACTCATGGCTTGTTGATTTATTTCTCTCCGGTTTCAAGTCCATTCTTACGATGGACGATTTGTATGCTCTTGATGGAAACATGTCAGCCTCCAACCTGCAGGCAAAGATTGAGAAACAACGGTTGGGAAACCTTTCGACGGGCAAGCCCGCGTCGCTCAACCGGCAATTGTTCTCCGCTTTATCTATGCCTTTACTTCTACCCGTGGTACCCAGGCTGGCTGTCATTGGGTTCACCTTTTGTCAGCCTTTCCTAATGGAGACTGTCCTTCAATACCTTCAATCTCCGGGCGACGCCAACCATGGATATGGCCTCATCGCTGCCACTGTCATTATTTATGGTGGCATCGCGATCTCAAACGCTTTGTACTTCTACTGGCAAGAAAGATTTGCCTGCATGGTACGCGGCATTCTTTTCACCGCCATTTATGACAAGACAGTTTCACTGCCCGCCGACGTTGCCGCCAATTCCACGGCACTCACGCTGATGAATAGCGATGTCGAACGTGTCAAGATGGGGCTCCTGCCAATTCATGAGTACTGGGCCAACGCCGTTGAGCTGGCCTTGGCCTGCTGGCTGTTGGAGCAAAGAATTGGTGTTGCCTTTTTGGCACCCATCGCGGTTGTTATTGTCTGTATACTCGCTTCGTCAGGGGTAGCCTCAGCCACCGGCCGCCGTCAGGTTGCTTGGATGCAGGCTATCGAAGAGCGTGTCACCGCCACAGCCGTCACGATATCAAGCATGAAGCCGCTACGGATCTCGGGTATGACAGTTGCCGTGGAGAATTTGATTCAAGCGCTCCGCCACCGCGAGCTGAAAATCGGAGGAAAGTGGCGCCTCATGCTCGTCATTGCAGTCACCCTCTCATTCACGCCCATGACGATTGGCCCGCTCATGGCTTTTGCAGTCACATCTCGCACACTAGAGGTCACACGCATCTTCCCAGCTATGGCTTTCATAACGCTTTTGGCTGCCCCTCTGGTCAGTTTGTTCCAGAACATTCCGGCATTGATGTCGGCCATTGCTTGCATGGGCCGCATCAATGCTTATGTGAAGCTAGATAGCCGTATGGACAGCCGCACGACCCTACAACCCATCCCGCCAGCTGCTGAGAAGACAGGCGCGGCTCAAACGACTCTAGCGCTTGAGGTGAAGGAAGGACAATTCGGATGGAGTCAACGAGAGAATATTTTAAGACATGTCAACTTTGCTGTACCGGCGTCGTCACTCATCGTCATTGTTGGTCCTGTTGCATCAGGAAAATCAACTCTGCTCAAAGCTCTGCTCAGCGAGACAACTTTCTGTTCGGGTGAAATTGCATTCGGAGTGAATTCTCGTAGAATAGGATTCTGCGATCAAACACCTTTCTTGCTGAACGACACAATCCGAGCCAACATTATCGGCAACTCTCAGCCCGATGAAATACGATACCAACAGGCCTTACATGCCACCGCTCTCGTGCCTGACTTGAGCAAGTTCTCACAAGGCGACCACACCAAGGTCGGCGATGGCGCCATTTCTCTGAGTGGCGGCCAAAAGCAACGCCTAGCTCTGGCTCGAGCTCTCTATTCAAAGGCAGAATTATATTTACTAGATGATGTTTTGAGCGGCCTAGATGTGTCCACCTCAGCTCTGGTTTTCCAAAGGACCCTCGGGCCAGGAGGCCTCCTTCGCCAACGGAAGGCTACTGTAATCTTCTGCACCCACGATGAGCGATACCTGCCCTTTGCCGACAAGGTGGTTACCATCAATGCGAGCGGCCTGATTTCAGAGCGTATCAGTGTCACGGAGGCCGTTGTCAGAAGTGACTTTCAGAGATTGAGAGGATATGATGAACCTGTCTCATCCATTCTCGGAGAAACGAAAGAGGCTACCGACAACACATCAGAATCAAATCATTCGACAGAAGCTGACAGGCCCGCCACAACGCGTCAACAGGACGCGTCGCGACAGATGGGAGACTTTTCAGTGTATCGACATTACTTTTCCAGCATGGCTTGCTGGCTTGTTATTTTGTTTGTGTTTTCTTGTTGCTGTTACGGCTTCACTTCCAATTTTCCAACAATTTGGTTGAAGTACTGGGCCGATGACACGATTCGCCAGATTCCTTCGCAGCCTAAGGATTTTTACATTGGAATTTATGCATTCCTACAAACGACTTGTCTTCTTTGCCTTGTGGCAGTAGTTCTTCTGTGTACTCAGTCCATGATCTCACAGACAGGCTCGGTGCTGCACAGGAGGGCACTGCGCACTGTCATCTGCGCCCCTTTGAGATTCTTCAGTGTCGTTGACACCGGGACTATTACCAACCTGTTCGCTCAGGATTTGACTCTCATCGATAGTGAGCTGCCTTTGTCGCTTCTCAACTTCGCCTTATCTCTTTTTGCATCACTAGGTATGGCTGCTGTCATTGCGATCGCGTCGCCGTGGCTCGCCGTAGCCTATCCAGTTTTAATAGGCATCGTCTACTGCATTCAGCTCTTTTACCTTCGAACATCACGACAAGTACGACTGCTGGACTTGGAAAGCAAAGCTCCGCTGTAGTAAGTCCAAGTTTAATCTTCTCGGACGAGGAGAGCTAACCACGATGCAGCGCACATTTCATCGAGACACTCTCAGGGCTCATCACCCTTCGGGCTCTTGGTTTGATTGATGTTGCAATGGCTACCAGTAGTCGGCTGCTAGACATGAGCCAAAGGCCATCATACCTTTTGGCTATGATTCAGCGCTGGCTTCAGCTCGTCCTGCGGATGATTGTCATGCTTCTCGCAGTCATCATTGTGACACTAGCCACACAGTTGCGTACGGATTCCGGCTTCACCGGAGCTACCCTTTTAACGCTCATGGCCTTTGGCGACATGCTAGCAACGATTGTGCAATCATACACCACTCTCGAAACAAGCATAGGAGCGGTCGCTAGGTTGAAAACTTTCAGCTCGTCTACTGAGAGAGAGTCTCAGCCGGATGAATATGTGGAGCCGGATGCACCATGGCCTGAGAGAGGTCAAATCGAAATCAGGGACGTGACGGCGTCTTACAGGTCAGCTGATGGTCAGGATCTTCTACGTGTTTCATCTAACACACGCTCCAGCGGAGAAATATCACTGGGTACAAATGAACCAGCCCTTCGCGATCTTAATCTCACTTTCGCCGCGGGTGAGCGCACAGCAATTGTGGGAAGGACGGGAAGGTTAGTAGTGCTCCAGCGAAAATATCATGATTCGGAGCTGATCTTCTCAAAGCGGGAAGTCATCCCTTTTATTGCTTTTGCTCAGACTTCTGGAGCCAATACATTCTAACGACAGTTTGGGGTCGATTACCATCGATGGTATCTCTTTGAAGACGGTTGATCGGGACGTCTTGCGTCGTCACGTCATCGCCGTCTCCCAGGACCCGGTATTCCTGCCACCATGCTCTTGCTCAACCTTGCGCAGCAACCTGGATCCCTTTGGTGAGGCTCCAGAGCATGATATCCTGGCATCTTTGAAGTTGCTCGGGCTCGAATTTCTCATGAAAGATGAAGGCTCCTCAGACCCGACTTCGGAAACATGGGAGCTCCCATTCTCACACGGCTCACTTAGCCAAGGACACAAACAATTGTTCAGTCTGGCGAGAGCAGTAGTCAGGCTGCGAATCCGCCAACGCTCAGGCGCCTGCGGAGGACTCCTAATCCTTGACGAGGTATCTTCCAGCGTCGACTCTCAAACCGACGAAAAGATGTTGCGAATCATTCAACAAGAATTTGCCGGGTATACTGTTATCATGATCGCACACCGACTTGATCTGGCTATGACTTGTGATCAGGTGCTTGTGATGGAGGAAGGGCGTGTATGCGAAAGCGGGCAGCCTAGCGAACTGAGCAGCCGGGAAGGCGGGAAGTTTAAGATGCTGATGGATACGGGAGAGTTCGTTTCATGAGCTATATTCCTAGTTAAAAGATTATGAAAATTCATCTTGCATCCAACCCCAGCTCAGGTGCATAGACTGGATCAACCATTTCATGATAGTATGACGCATCTCATCGTGAAATAAAAACCCAACAGTAATTCATCGATGACTTAGTACTATTATGCAGATATTTATCCTCACTTAACTAAATAGTGATTTCGCTTAGGTGCATAGACTGGCCCAGCCATTTCATGATAGCATGACGCATCTAATCGTGAAATAAAAACCTAACACTAACTCATTGATGGATTGGTACTATTATGCAAACATCTCTCCCTACTTATTCAGACGGTGAGCTCGCTCAGGATCCCTCCAGAACAAGCACTGTTCCCTCCTAATATCATCCTTCTCCACCTCCGGCCCGTCGGATCCGACTACTAGCTGCAATGGTGCCTCTGCCTTGGCTCCATAGCCCGCAGGTGTGTAAGCAGGCCACTCAGTGCTACCCTGCTTCCGAAGCTTATTGGGATCACCAGTCAGCACAAAACTGGCCAGGTAGCTGTGGTATATCTGGGCGATATTGGGATACTGCGTCGTGGGTTCGGCCCATGAATATTGCATATCCGCTGCATGAGGGATACCTTGCCATGCGGGAAAGTTATTGTTAGCGTTCCAACGAAGCTTCCAGGCTGGCAAGCCGGCATTCGACATGCGATAAGCTGTTTCCTGGCTGGGACAGATGTAGGCGTAGTCGCTCCATGCAGCCGAGAGACGGTTGTACTGTGTACTATTCGGCGAGCCGGCATAGGGTGAATCGGAGTTTGTCGCCGGATCGGGGTAAAGAGCCTCAAGTAGAGCAATATCGGTGCTATTGAGGCTGGGCGAAATATTATGAAGAAAATTGATGAACTCATCATTGGTTTCCAGAGTCCCAGGGATGTAGTTTTTGGCTTCATCGGTGGTTGTTGTGGTTAAGACAGGAACCTTGAAGAACGTTTCGTCGTACCCAGATTGGGAACCAGCCTTTTCGAAGAGGGGACCGTCGGTGACAGGTTGGAATGGCCAGGTAATGGCCTGATTGTACTTTTGGAAGACAGTGTTACTCGCATTCCTTGTAGAGTCGATGTCGGCGCTTCTTAGGCATGCCATGGCAGCAGCATTGCTGTCCTTCACAGCTTCGCCGCACCCAACCAAATCCACGTAATCATTGAATTGTCGCTGGTATAGGGGGTAAGAAGCGTTTGGGAATGCCCTCGCTGTAACAGACCCGGATTGCAACCAGGCCCTTGCGAAGAGTGACTTGCCCTCGTCTTTGCCGTAGTTATGAAAAGTATGTATTGCGACCGAGTGAGCTCCGGCCGATAGGCCTCCAATTGTCACAGCGTCTGGGTGTCCGCCGAATGAGCTCACATGCTTTTGCGCAAACTCAAGAAAATGGCGCTGGTCTCGAATGGCGAGATTAAGGATGCCTTCATCCTCGAAAAGAGGCGACGGTAGAAAGCCCAACGCACCAAGTCGGTAGTTAAAGGTGATAACTACCATCGGTTCGGGGGAGTTGGCCACAAATGAGGCAGCATCGAAGCTTGCATAGCTGCGTCGCACGAAGGCTCCTCCATGAATCCACAGAAGAACGGGAAGTTTCTCATCCAGAGGTATACCTCGAGTACGATAGATGTTGAAATTGAGGCAAGCTTCACCCTGGCGCTCGAGAGGGTCGACCGCTGTCGGTACTTGCGGGCAAACTAGTCCGTATTCTGCCGCCGATTTGATACCGTCAAATGGTTCAGGCCAGGTGATGGGGCGAAAGCGACCGTCTCCAGTCGGCTGGGTCGCGTAGTCTATGCCGAGCCACGCATCGACTGTTTCAGGCAGGTCTTTACCAGTAAAGGTCTGTGAAACACCAGTTCCAGAGAAACTGCCATAGCCTTCCAGAACAACAGGCTCATGATTGCAATCGGGCAGACACCAGACGATTTGTGCTGCTCCAAGCAACGCGCGCAGAGTATTGGTGTGCTTCATCTTGGTTGTCAAGTTGATCTCTCACCGTCTTCGGCTGACGGCGGGACGGGAAGCACAGTCTTTTCTACTGGAATAACTTGTGTTGAGAAAGTGCGGTTGCGATTCAGGTCTTTATGCCTCCTAGGTATACGACCCCGCACATCATGACCGACGATCTTAGATGGGTCCGTGCAAGTGCCTGGGTGTGAAGCCATATACGGATACCATGGCTCCGTCATCGGGGCATTCCTTCGGGCACATCCCGTAACAGGTCATCGGATTTCTATCCGCATCGTTCAAGTGCCCTTCGGCGTGGAGACTGAATCGCGGATCAACACAATGCCAGTTGAGCTAGTGTGTGGGGATGATTACAGCATGCATATCCTTGGTTCACTTATCAACAACGCTCATCTTCCCCACACTCCCCAACCTTGCTGTTGCTGCAACCTGTGGATCACACCCACTTGTGTTATCTAGGACACTGCCAGTGAATTGCGAAGCTCAAGCGACGTCGGAGGATATTCTGGGTCCGACGGATGGCGACTTATCTGATGCTAGGCATGACATCTGAAAGCCAGCGTCAGACCGGGGTTGCTCGTGTCGCTAGGTCTGCGAATATGACGGATCGCCCTCAAGCTTACTTGCCGTTCATTCAGAGATCAGAGAAGGCGTGGTCTTCCTTCATGATGCCACAAGACCAGGCGACTAAGCTCAATGGCGGAAGCAATGCTGAGCCATCATTACCATAGGATTTGAGTAAACTAGAGGCAGCTGCCAGGTCATGCCCAGAAATATACCAATTCCGGTTGCACATGGAGCGATAACGCAGCATCCAGACCCGGAAGTGATCTTAAGACAGTGATTGGGATGAATTTGCACAACTTAAAGGAGAGCTCTTGAGCTAAACTTCCGCGTCATTGAACATGCTGAGCCTTTCTCAACAATCCGATTAAAAAGATACGAGTACATTTTATACCACCAAAAACTTGCAATATTCTTAAATAGTAGTGATTAATTTCAGGAGAGTAAACGAGCTTTAACCCGTGGTGGCGAAAGCAGTAGTACAGCCACCTTTCAAGTGTTCAGCACTGTCGAGCTACGAGCAAAATGAACAGTCCGGGCTACTCCGTGCCGCAACCTTTTAAACATTCGCTCTGACAGTTTCGGCGTCTGAGGAATCTCAACGCCGTTCTCGAATAGGCTGCGGGCATTTCCGCATCTGAAACTTCCAGAGCGGCTTAACCTGAACCCTTTCCGTTCACGGGCAAGCCACGCATCCGGGAGGGTAGGCCCACCATAGTTATCACCGGCATCCTTCCACGTCTGAATAACCAGGGTCTTTTCTTGAGCATCTTCTTCAAACCGCACCTCGAAGTCTGTAGGACATGTGGGACAGGAAAAACCGATTGTGTGTCCCGGGGGGCCGTCGAAAACCAGCTCGAGATTTTGCTCAAGCAAAGTACACTCCTCCCATCGAAATCGAAAATATCGCCATTGGTGTTGGCATGTGTTCATTTCCGTCATTGCGTTACTGAGGATTTCCCAGATGAATGGGCGCTTTGGTCGCAAACTGTCGGCAGCCGATGGACTAAAGGACCACTTCTCCGCTAGCAGAAACCTCCCTTGGATAATCTTTGCCTGCGCATGGTATCTAACTTGGATCCGAGACTCAAACAGCGACTTATTTTTCCAAGAGGAGAAAGGGGCAAGTAGGGCTGTCAGGTGTTGCTTGTGCTCGGGGCCGAGATTCAATTGGCGTGCATATTTGAGAGCAAGCTGTATATGATGTTCTCGGATACGGTAACAAGGTCCGTAGTGACTCGCCAGTGTCTCGTATGATGTTAACAGCATTCCGCAGTCATCCCGCTCTATACAGCGTAAAGGTGTTGTTCTCAGGTCTGTCTTGTGAAGTCGGTCGCACTCGTAGCATAACCAGTGGTCCAGTAAGCCATTTCCAAAAGCAGCCATAAATTCGAGACGTGGCAGTGGAGATAGAGTGCGGAGTGCCGACGGCCACTTGTAAGCCACAGTTGCTCGCAGGTCTCTGCAGGTATGCGAGAGGCTCAAGTGATCATGTGGTGATAGTTTGTCTAAAAGCAAGAACCAGATATCCAGAGGAAGCTCAAGTGCCGGACAGGGAGCTACCACGTCCGATGCAACTGTTGCTCGTTATGATTAGTGACTGTAGGATCATGGATTATCACTGGCGAGGGTGTGTTACCTACTTGCAGCAGGCTTTTCATTCCATAATCGTAGGTCCATAATTGCTCTGGAGGTCATTGAGGTTGTGGGCGGGTGTATTTGAATAACAGGATATGCTTCCTTGTATCATGAATCCAACAATAACATGGGTGTCAGACACCCAGGTTGAAGAGAAATTAGGCGACCGAGAAAGGGGCTAAGAGAGGCTGCTGCACATATTGACACGAGAGAGTCAGGCTGAAGGGAAGACTCAGAACATTGGTGTAGCAAGATTTGTACAAACCTTTATACTCGTGAGGAAATCAGAGATTCCGGTGAAGTGGCTTCAGTACCCTTCTGGGTAGTACAACTGGCGCAATAGCTGATGTTAAGGTTATGGCCTCAAGGTCAAAATGACAGCCCTTGAACAGACTTCAACAAAGACAAGCCTGAAGCATAAGGAGAGACTGTGTATGTACTCAGCTGACAGCGGAACATTGCACCAGGTTTTTGCCCTGGACATGATGAATCAGCGACATCGCTTTCGTCCACAGCTTCGCCGTACCAAACCAAATTCACGTTGGGTTTGAATTTTCTGTGGTCGCTACTGACTGGCCCTGAAAAGGAAGAGCGACCTGAAGAGCAGCCATCATCCAGTGCTACTGCCGTGTGGACCTGTCAAACCGCCGGGAAAGAAGCGGTTGGTCGTCGCTGGCTACTTCCTCAAAGATCTAACACGCCAAGATAAACCACAGTGCTGAGACGAAGCCTGGCCAGAGCTGTGTTTCTTCCTCTCTTCATACATATCACGATCAATCACAATATCGATTCTCCTCGACTTCTTCTCTAGTGGGTCTGGCTGCGCCATTTTCCTCGCGACACTGCTAATCGGAGGCTTCCAGTTAAACGTACATTATAATTTCATCAATCCCCGTTGGCCGAAGCTCCGGGAAAACATCGAGCTCGAGAGAAGAGAGATCGAGAGAGCAGCGTTCGATAAAAGCTTGATGAATCTTGACGAAGACGTGAGCGCAATGAAGACTACTATGGACGACATCCAACAGACATTGGAAGACCTTCAAGAAGAAAAACCCCCTCATGATCAATATTTTCTGGAACTCCAACAAAAGGACGAGAAGTTCGACCATGAGCTGAAGAAGATAAATCAAATTCTCGCAGCTTCAAAGTCGAGAATGGACGCTCGTGGTGCTGAGATCGACTTGCTCGCTAAAGGACATACTGCTGCCGGAAAAGAGAGCCATTGTTGAACCGATCAATAATATTAGGGGATTCCCTAGGGCGGTGATCTCGATAGGGGATCACCGATACAGTGATCACCATGGCCGCGGATTCACAGCTCCCAGGAGCACGTGAATCACAGCTTACGTGATCGGTGAATCAGATGGGTATATCTGATTCACGTGGGTAGTGGTAATTCAGAGAGAGAGCATCAATCACATCACAAGACTTGTATCACCTACCCTACGTATTCAGAGCTCTCAGGCACAGCCAACGCAATGAATCAGGGTCCACGTAAGCAGCGAAGCCCTCTCAACAGCCATCGATATAACCAGCAAGTATGTGGACTCGCGGAAGAAAACGCAAAGCTTCGCGAAGAGATAGAGATGATTAAGCAACGAGAGGCTAAGCTCAGGGGGGACATGATTGAGCTGGAGAGAACGAACCTGTATTGAAGATATGGTGTTCGGGTGGTGTTTTGTTTAAAGTCCTCGCTGGCACGAGCTTGTACCTTCGGGCTATCCCTTTACTTATCGAGCACGAGAACTAAGCCATATATCCCGTCTCCTCCGTGAGGTTCGACCTGCTGGTGCTTTCGTGCTGATCGAACCTTCGTTTAGAACCACATTTTGAACGAATTATCCTTCAAATCGCTCCGCTTTTGATCATGAAAACCACATCACACACATGTCCATCGCAGTCTCTCTCTCTCTCTTACTTGGCGGCCTCCAAGACGACCTCGGGCGACAGCTTGCCATCGACGCGTCCACCCTCCTCATCCGACCCGGCCACGCTCCCCGCAGGCCCCTTTTCGTAGCCGTACTCGACAATCTCGGGGTGGCGCCTCTCCCAGAACAGCAGGCCGAGCTGCACGAGGACGGTGAGGCCCGTAAAGGCCGTGACGAGGGGGAAGCCGATAGGGTAGCGGGGCGCGTCAGCGACGCGCCAGGCGCGCAGCGGAATGGTGGCATGGCCGACGTAGACAATGGTGACGGTGGCGGCGACGATGATGGCGCGGGCCTCGGGCTCCTTGCGCAGAATCTCGGCGAACCAGGCCATGAGCGAGGAGGAGCCGGCGTTGGTGGCGTAGGTGAGGAAGTAGAAGCTCAGGACGACGCGGTCGTTGGGCGGCCAGGCGCAGAGGACGGCGAGGAAGAGGCCGTGGAAGGCGGCGCTGCCGATGCTGACCTGCCAGCGCCAGTGCTTCCAGTCGGAGAGGGCGTTGAGGCCTACGGTCGTGACGATCTGCAGGGCGTAGCCGCCGAGCGGCAGCACGTTGACCTGGTAGACGCTGTAGCGGCGCGACCCGTCGGCGTTGGTCAGCGACTCGAGGTACAGGACAAAGTAGGCGTTGGCGCGGTGCGCCCAGGCGTTGAGGGCAAAGGCGAAGAGGAAAAAGTAGGTGACGGGGTGGATGACGATCTGGCGGAGCTTGCGGCGCAGGGCCGCCGGGCGCAGCATCGAGGACGTCTTGGCGCCGAATGAGGCCATGCGGTCGCGGGCAAGGACGCGCTCGGCGGGGGAGAGCCAGATGGCGCGCGTGATGGCCGGGCTGTCGGGGATCGTGAAGAAGGCGACGAGACCCTGGCCGATGGTGGCGGCGCCGGCAATGACGAAGAGCCACTGCCAACCATGCAGGCCGTGGACGCCGTTCATGTTGCGGTAGAGGGCGGCCTGAAGGGCACCGAGGAACATGGCGCCTGCGACGTCCGAGACGGTGAAGACGGCCAGGCGCACGGCGAGCTCGCGCGGCGTGTACCAGTTGAAGATGAGGGCGACGACCGAGGGCCAGAAGGCGGCCGACAGCAGACCGAGGAAAAAGCGCAGCGCGTAGACCGTCTCGGCGCTTTTGGCCTTGTAGGTGAAGAGCACAAAGAAGCCCCAGGCCATCTCGCAGAAGGGCAGAAAGAGCGACGGCCGCAAGCGTGTCTGGATGAGCTGGCCCGGCACGAGGCCGATGGCGTAGCCGATGCTGAAAAAGGTGTTGAAGAGGACGAGCTCGTTGCCGTAAAGCGACAGCGACTCGCGCATACCCGAGACGTAGGCCTGCGTCGTCGCGCTCTGGTCCATCTCCTTCATGATGCCGGCGAGGAACATCCAGGCAAGCAGGAAGACATCGAGCTTGAAGACAAGCACATGGCGCGGGTTGCGAAAGTAGGGGATGACCTTGGCGATGTGTTTGAAGACGCCCGTGACTTCGGGTTCGGCCGTCGCGTCGTCGTACGTCGGCGCAGCGACCGTATTGCCGTAGGAATCAGCGGCATCATGGGCCTGTGCCACGTTTTCCGATGGTGAGATGGCCATCCTGCGTGGGCTCGGGCAGCGAAAGTGCTGGAATTGAGGCTACGAGATGTCGTCTCAAGCTATCATCACCAACAAAGACCATGGCCGAAGACCCTTCTTATCATGAGATCGACCAACCGCCACCAGCTAGCTTCACAGCATGGCACCAAGCTCGCCATAGTCTCGATATCGTGCCCGCTCCGACGGCTGCCAATCACAAAGGGCTCAAGGGTCTGATCGGCGGGTCGCCCGACTCGTGCCTGTGGGGAACGAAGCGACCCATGGTCGAATTGAGGGCGTCGCTGGCAGATGGCGCGATCGCCCTGCTGAACGTCGACATGGCGGGTAGACTCCGCGGGGGAAGAAATGTCGGACGGCTGCCGACGACGTGAGAAGTGATCATAGTCTGGGGATTGGGACGCAGCAGTCGAGAATTCCTTCTTGGTAATGATGATATGGTTTGTCGGGATGAGGTGATGGGCAACGCCTGGAAAATCATCTCTATTGAATAATGTTGGTCGAGACCATGGTCCATGTGTGGGCTGGCCGATGGCAGGGAACCATGGCAGGGAGAAAAAAAAATCCTGCATGATTCGCATGTAGTCTCGAGTCAAGGGGGTCGTATCGTGCATCCTGTTGAGCTGCTTCACATGCACGTAAGAAGTTTGATATGTCTTGCACGGCTTAGATCGCCATGTTACTTAGGAAGAACAGCATAAACACCTGCGATGAAAGACATAGTTATTCCGGCAAGACGACATGCCATGTGAGATTGCTTCAACCGCTCCATACGCCGTACTCCATGCATGCATGCACACACTACCTTTTGCACTATGCCATGACCAGAGATGAAACCGACCATGCTGACTGACATCGGTTGCGCATTTTACCTTACCCAATGTTGAACTCGCTTGCGCTGTTCATGACGCTCTTCATCTTCATCTTCATCCTCCTCTCCATCTCGGCCAGGTCCGTGTCGGCATCGAACAGACTCTCCCGTGCCGAGTCGCCGGCGCCCTGCTTCCTCTTCTTCGACGCCGCCGCCTTCATGGCCGTCTTCTTGCCATCGTGCCCACCACGTCCGACGCCCTGCGGCGCCTCGCGCAGTCCATAACTCTTGGCTGTGTGTCCGAGGTGCAGCTCGGTAATGTCAAAGAACTTCCGCTCCTCCTTGGTGTGTGTCGCGTAGGCCCGCACGTGCGAACGGAAGCCCTTGCGAGCCGCCTCGAGCAGCGCCGCGCCTGATGGAATGAGCAGACGCTGCTCAATGTGTAGCTGTAGAGCCTCCGCTCGCTGCGAGAAGCTGCGGCTGTCCTCCGGTGGTGGCTTGGCGTCCGTGTCGACGGGGAATGGCATGTGCGTCGCGAGGCCACGGTGCAAGACGCCCTCGAACGATTCCGCTTTGGGAACAGATGTCGCCGTAGTGAGATAGTCGACGTAGCCTTCCTCGCATCCGGGCTGCAGGAACAGCACTGCTTTACCGGGGCGACCGGCACGGGCTGTACGACCGATACGGTGCACATGGTCGGCGGCGCTGAAGGCCGGGTCGTACTCGATGACGAGCTCGACCGACGGCACGTCGAGACCACGGGAGGCGATATCGGTGGTAATGAGCACGCAAGGTTCGATGCAAGTCGAATAGGCGGCCAGGGTGCCGGTACGCACGGGTTGTGGGAGGGAGCCGTGAAGCTTGTGGAGGACGATGTTGGGGTTGGCCGGGGATGCGAGGTAAGCCGCAGGGGCAACAGTGTTGGCCGTGACAGCCGTCGACTCGGTCTTCTTGTCGGCCTTGGGCGGTTCTTTCAGCAAGTCGAAGTGATAATCGACCGAGTCGGCGCAAGACATGAAAATAATGGCCTTCATGACAGATCCCCGACGGGCAAATGTGGATTTCAGCAGGGCAATCAGCGACACGAGACGCAGCTTTGCCGGCACAATGTAGTGTGCTTGCTTGAGCTGCGCAGGCGCCGAGAATGCGACTTGCTGCTGCTGCTCCTCGCCCTCCCCGTTCACTACCTCGTCTTCTGCCGTGATGTGTACGGCATCCTCCAAACTGATCTCGCCCAGCTTTTGCACATCCATCTTCATTGTTGCCGAGCAGAGCACCGTCACACGGCGCTTGGGCAGCAGTTCCAGTGAGACACCATCCTTTGTCCTGTTGCTGAGCTCGCCGGCTCGGATCTTGCCGACAATCTCGCGAAGGTCGTCTTCAAAACCCATCTCCATGAGGCGATCACCTTCGTCGAGCACGAGCCATCGCACCGACCCGACGTCGAGGGCCTTTGTGTTGGCCAAGTGATCGGTCAGTCTGCCAGGCGTCGCGATGAGAATGTTGACGCCCTTTCGCAGTCGGCTCTTTTCCGAGTGCTTGCTCTCACCACCGATGACAGTTGTACTGACAAGCCACTGCGGCAGCAGCTGCTGCAGCACGAGATCAATCTGTCGGCACAGTTCGCGCGTCGGCGCCAGGACCATGGCGAAGAGACCAGAGTCACGACGCACCTTGCCCTCGTCGGCCACGGCGAGGATACGCTGCAGAATGGGCAGCAGATAGGCGAGCGTTTTGCCGGAACCTGTCTGCGCCTGGACGAAGGCGTCGCTGTCCTCCTTGATGAGCTGCGGGATGACCTTGGCCTGAATGGCCGTCGGTGCCTTGAGCTTGACCTTGCCGGACAGATCCTGAGCCAGGCGGCGAGAGATTCCGAGGGCGTGGAAGCTGGCGGCCTCCTCGGAGAGAGGTGCGTTGGACGGTTGGGCTGGTTCGGCGTCGGGTTTGGATTCGGCGTTCGGGTCGTCAAAGACGGTGCGCGCCATGGGATTGGATGTGAATAGCTTCGACGTGACCTGTCCCTTGGCTAGACCAGTGCCCTCCCGCTTGCCGATGACTATGCTTCCGGGCGGCAGCTTGCCGGTCTGGTAGGAGGAGGGCATGTGAGGGTCGGCTCGCATCCGTTTCGCGGGACGCTGGTCGAAATCATCGCCGTCGCCGCCATTTTGTCGGGGGTTTGGCTTCGAGCCGGGGATGTAGCGTTGTTGGCTCGAGGGGAAGGCTTCAGTGGGCTTCGTTGTCTGGGGGGTGGAGGATCGATTGGCGTTCCGTTGCGCCTTGAGGCGATCTCTCCATTTCCCGCCTTGGAATTTGACCTGCGTCTTCGCGGGAGCATCGCTGACCGCGAAGTTGAGGATCATGCCATCGTCCGCCATTTTGTCCGTGGCCCTATGGGGTGGTGAGATTGAGCAAGCAGGCGGTGGCAGCGAGAGCAGTCGCAGCATGTTGGGGTCCTGCCGCATGAAGAAAAAATCATGGCTTATCACGATAAGCTTTTGAGGTGGGTCGACCCCGCGGACCCGAAGGATGCATGAGAACGTGTATATGTGTATGCAATAAAGCAGGCATATTTGCTTTCTGGGGTGTCTACTGAGAACATGATATTGGTGATGTTTGTCTGCGTGCTCAACTTTGCTATCCATTTGCTCGGTTGAGTCTAGCACTTCGCGTGAATATGGATGTTCTCCTGCGCTGATGTACTTTTCCCGCCCGTGACGTGTCTAAATCCATCCCGCGTACTCATCGAGGCTCTCACTCCGCACACCATCAACCTCTCCCTGCACACGGAGCAGCTTGACCTTGCCACCCTTCTTCGCGCTCCACTCCTCCAGGAAAGCCTCAATACGCTTCTCGGTCTCGGTGCCCTCCTCGACAAGCAGCGCCAGGGCATCGAAGCCGCCAGCACCGGGTACGACACCTCCAAACACGCCCTCGACGCCGCTCAGCGCATCCAGCAGCTCGCTCTGACTCTCCGGCTCGATCGGCACGCCACTCGCCGCGCCCATCGCCCTGACGAGCTCCCTGACGTCGCCGACGGCCTTGGAAATCGCCGCGGTGCGCCCCTCGCGCAGAACCTCGGCCAGCGCCTCGTTCCTCGCCTGCAGGGCGTCCCAGAGCGCCTTGCTCGCCTCGGGCTGCGCCTTGCGCCACGCCAACACACCCTTGACCATGCCGACCGTCTGACTTCCGCAGTCGACGTCGCACATGCGCAGCACGACGCCCGCGGGCAGCTTCACCTCGCCGCCGACCTCCGTGTCCCACACGTCCCGCGCGTCGACGCGCTCGACGAGCTTCTCCGCGAAACCGGCGGTGCCGGGCGCCGGCAGGTCCGAGAGCAGCTCCGGCGAGAACCGCCTGTACCGGCAGGAACCGAAGACGGCGGCCGCTACGTCGAAGCCGCTGCCGACCTTGCCCTGCGCGGCGCAGTGGGCGGCCTGTGCGAGGTTGTGCAGCGTGTGGCGGCCGGCCTCGGAGGTGAGGTCAAAGAGGGACGTGGGCAGATAGTGCGTCAGCAGGGCAGCGGTGAAGGACGTCACGAGGGCGGCGGAAGAGCCCAGGCCCGTCTTGTGTGCCTCGGCGAGGGTGTGAGGGTAAGGCGCGTAACGGCCAGTCGTGGGGACGGCGTTCGGGGGCAGCGTGTAGTAGTCGTTGTCGGCTAGAATGGTCAGACGAGCGGAGGCGAGGCTGTGAGGGTTGCTTTGGCGACCGATCTGGTGGATGTAGGTGAGAGCGTAGGTGAGTGTTGTTTCTACAAAGGGGTTTGGTGTGATGGAGGCGCCACTGGACTGTTAGCTTGAGGCCATGTGTGTTGTGAGGAACATGATTGAACCAATAGCTATCTGGTTAAGCCGCATTTTTGGCTGCACTTTATGTAGAAGCCGAACCTCTGGATGCAGCTCGCGCGCCCATGAGTATGCTGATTACTGAGATGTTGGTCCAGTCGACGACCCTAACTTCCGTCCTGAGAAAGAAAAGCCAAACATGCCATGATGAACTTGAAAGACATCCCAATCATGAGACCTAATAGACCAGCACTCACCAGCCAAGAAATGCAGTCAAAATGCCCCCCTCTGCCTCATCCCGAATCCGCTCACTCGAGCCGAATTCCCCCTGAAGCATTCGCATTCCCAACTGAACTCTGCGGTAACACGGACACCGAAGAAAAGGCAACAAACCTCGCATTCAGCAGAAGAGAAAGACAATAAATAAATAAAAAGAAAAAAAAAGGGGAGAAAAGCACTCACACCTGCAGCTCCGTAACCTGCACGCCCCCTTCCCCGAGCCGGAACCCATACCGCCACCCGGCACCCTCAAACTGGGGGCTGCTCACGACAACCTCGCTCAGCTGCACGCCCTCGACACCGGACGCCAGCTCGCCGGCGAGCACGCTGATACGCGCACTCAACCCGAATACGAGACCCGTGTAGCCGCGGTCGAGGACGAGGTAGCCGCCCGCCAAGAGGACCTTGCCTGGGGCGGAGACGGCGGTCGCTTTCGAGGGCATCATGAGTGGTGTATGCGTTTGCGTTCGATGGAGGGCAGGAGGCAAGACGGCGGGCCGATGGATATTCTCTGAACGTGCGTGTTTCACTGAGTGCCGGCTTTTGCAATTGGATTTGACGGCGTAGAGGTGATGTCGAGGAGTGAAGTAAGAGGTGACGAGAGGATGAGGCCATGAAAGACTTTGGTGAGCACGGTACAGGGGAGGGGTAAAAGACCCCGCGATGGTGCTGGATGCGCCGCACGGTCCACTTCGCACCCACGGAACACTACATCAGTCAAGCATGCCATATCAACGCATATCACGAATGATGCTTTCATACAAAATGAACGTCAACAAGTTGAATTAGCTTGCCGATATAATACAAGCAGCAGGATCCCTGATCTGCAATGATCTCCTCCGCCGATCCTCTAGCTGCGTCCTCTGACGCTCTTTGCTTGTATATAGGGGAGATGGTCTAACCAGGCGCGAGGCCTCACCGGGAACGCCGTCCCCCGCCGCGCTGTATATGCCGCGACTGTTTTATCCCTCCGCAAACGCCATACACAAAAACTCGAGCAACGTCAAGTCGACACAAGGAGACGCCGGCGCCGCGCCGCTCCACTGCGATGCGCACACCAGCAGTACCACCCATCGTACCCAGACACCCCAGTCTCCGTTCCCTCTGCCAATCGCACTCATGGGGTATCAAACAAGGCAGACGAGGGCGAAAAACAAAGGAAAATCGCGAGAGGAAAACAACCACGCCATCGAAAACTCGCTCCAAGACCGCCAACCCTTTACGCAACAACTGCGCCCTCCTCACCACCGCCGCCGCCAAGCAGCTCCAGCACCTTGTTGACCACGGCACTGGGGTAGCCCCGCGACAGCATCTCACCAACCACAATCTTGGCCTTCTCGCGCTCCTCTGTGGCAAGGAACGCTCGCGTCATCGCCTCATATGTGCTAGGCTCGCGCTTGCTGTGGCCGACAGCATTGTAGATGGCGTACGCCCGATCGATATTCTTCTCAGCAGCCCAGCCGTGGATCAGAGTGTTGGCAATGTAGGGCGTCAGCTCAATGCCACGACGACGCATTAGACCCAGGATGGGCTCCGTGTCGGCAACACGGTGGTTGGCGACCATGGCTTCAAAGAGTGCTTGGAACAAACTGGCATTGACCGGCATCGAGTAATCCTTGACAACGTCATCAAACACCTTGCGGGCGCCCTCCATATCATGGAGCACGCAACCGCGTGCGTGAATCAGAGAGGCGTAGTGCACGGGCTCGGGCTTCTGCCCGGAAGCGCGGATGGTCTCGAGTACCTTCTCAGCAGCATCCATGTCGACAGGCTCCAGCGTGGCGTGGGTGTCGACAAGGAGCTTGTTGGTGTGTGCCGTGGGCGTGATGCCCCTGGCGACCATGCGCTCGTAGTAGGCGAGAACCTTGGACTTGTCACGCTTGGTGGTCAGGAAGAACTGCATCATACTGTTGTAGGGCGCAGGGCGCGCCTTGTAGTTGGGCATCGCCTCCATCTCATCGAAGAGCTGCTCGGCAAACTTCTCATCACTCACACGGCATAGAGCGTTGACAATGGTACCGTATGTGACTGAGGTGGGCTTGATGTCGAGTGCACGCATCTCGGCGAAATAGAACAGACAGTCGCCAATCCGGCGAGCCTTGCCGAGCTTGCCGATGAGAGCGTTGTAGAGGAATGAGCTGGGCTCAACACCCTCAGCCTTGGCGCGGTGGAAAATCTTGACAGCCTCGGTGGCCTCGTCGAACGTCTTGGTGGATTCCTTGAGCGTCGTGATGTACAGACCGAAGGTATTAGCAGATGGCGTCGAGCCCATCTCGAGCAGTTCCTGGTGGAACTGCTCTGCCATATGGCGGTTGCCCATGGTGAGACAGGCACCAACCATGGCATCAAGAATCGAGGACCATCCGTAACGGACCACTGCGTACTGAGGCAGCATGGGAACGTCGGTGCGCGCCATGGCGAGAATGTCGTGGCACAGATCCATCTTGCCGTCGCGCGCAGCAGCCGAAATAAGCTTGGCGTACGTGATGTAGCGAGGGTGGCGGCCCGCCCGGCGCATGTTGCGGAAACGAGACAGAGCTTCGTTCAGGCGGGGGCCCTTGCGGCCGTGGCTGCCCTCGAGCTCATCAGAGATCAGGGACGAACCCTTGAAGTCGGTGTTGTGGGCATAGGGGTCAAAGGTGTCCTCGAAGCTGGAAACGGTAGCCGTGGATCCGTAGGGAGAGTTGGTGAAGGGCTGCTGAGGACCGCTCGAGACCTGCGACGCCATCTCACGGGGGTCGACGACACCTCGCACAGCCATGAAGCGGTGGATGAAGTCAAGACCCTCCTCAATCTCCTCAGCGCTCTGAGGGCTGACGGCGCGAATCCTCTGGAACATAAACTCGGACTGGGTCAGTCCTTCAGCAACCTGGCCCGAGCCGATCATGGCAACCGCAAACATGGCAGCTGGATCAATAAACGCCGGAGTCACCTGCATCTCGGGGGCACTGAGGACGTGCCAGTACCTAGCGGCAGCTGCGACGTCACCCTGGCGGACGCTCATGGCCAAAAGTGCCATGGCCGAGGTGGCAGTTTCGGGATAGTTGAGAGGCACATTGGCAAACGCGGTCATGGCAGTGTACTTGTCACCGCTGTCGGCAGCACGGGTGGCGACATTGTTCATGGCGCTCAACCTGTCGACACTGCTTTCGCCCTCAATGAGCTGGGCCCACTGGAGAGCGTCCTGGAAGATGCCGCGCTCGACAAAAGCCTGGACAAAGCCAGAACTGACAAGAGCATCCTTGATGTCCGCGGCGCGGACACCATACTCTTGAATGATCTTCTCGTAAAACTTCATGGCGCCCTCGACCTTGTCGGAGATGACGTAGGCATTGATGACGGCGGCGTAGATGTGCGAGTCCATGCGGTCCTGAAGAGAAGCGTCGCCGTTGTCGTCGGCGATGGCAAGCGCACGGTACTCGTCGTACACCTCGACAGCGCTGATGAGATCGCCAGTAGCAGCAAACGAAGTGATCATGGCGGGGAACATGGCGGCGTAGGGCACGACTCGGTTCAACTCCATGTGCTCATAGAGACGAAGCATCTCGGAGCATCGTCCGGCGCGAGCACAGGCGCTGATGAGCTGGTAGTAAGATTCGGCAGAGTACGCAGCACGGTACGTGGTGACCGACGTCTCAAACATCTTCATGGCCCAGTCCAGCGGGTCATCCTCGGACAGAATGGCGTGATCAAACTCCTGAGAAGCGAACATGAACTTGCCAGGCTCGTCCATGCCACCGAAGCGAACGCGCTTGTCCTCGAGATCCTTCTTCAACGAAGCCACCTCGAGAGAACGCGAGGCAAGGAATCCGACGAGGATGTTGTACGTATCACTGTCGGGAATCGCCTTCTGCTGGAGCATGTGAGTATAAACCTCGCGAACCTTGGAGACGATTTCGTTCTTCTCAGTGGTCAGTTGAATGCGCGACATGAGCAGCGCATTGTAGGCTCCGGCGATGGGCCTCACACCGGCAACAAGCATAGCCTCGAAGACGGCGGGAATCTCAGCCCAGCGACCATCTTGCGACAGCTTGGTCAGGTGGTCAGCATAGGTTTGGGACTGAGGGTCGATCGGGGGCGTCGCTGAGCGTGCGATGCTCGCCGGGGTGTAGGAGCGCTCGATTTCAGGCGTCAGGGCGCGTTCGAGTAGGGCCGGATCGATGGGTGTCCCGGTCCGGACTGATTCGGCCACGGCCTCTTCAAGAGCCTCTTGGCGCTCCCTGATCTCAATCTCCTTCTCGATGGCAGCGTTGATGTGAGCAAGGGCTGCCTCGGCCTCACGCGGGACTGACGGGACGTCTGCATCCTGTGCGTGGGCCTCGGCCTCGAGCTGCTCCTCGCTGGCTAGCTGCCTGGCATCGCCAACGAGAATGGAAGCTGGCGAGGGCTTCCATTCGATCTGCTTCTGGAACTCAAACTGCGTCCATTCTTCTTCTGCGACCTCGCCAGACTCCCCAGCAGCGTGCTGGTTCTGGAGGTGTTCAAAGTATGCGTCTAGCCCTCCATTGGTGCTGACCTTTTGGGGTCGATGGTCGAGCGAGAGACCGGCAGCGGCACGCTCGGTGTTGAAGGCGGACTGGAAGTGGGTGCCCTGGAGACGACCGAAGCGGGTAGTGTGCCTGCGGGCGAAGGAGGGACGGTTGTGCGAGTTGAGGGCGTGAGGGTGTGTGACGGCGACAAGAGACTGAGCGTATCCGTGGCCGAATGACTTTGCGATTCCTTGACGGAAAAGAGCCTGGTGCAGGTTGCCAAAGATGGTGGGCATTTAGACGGAGGGAAGGGAGGGGATCTGGAACGTGTTAGTTCAGGAACACGCAGAAAGTGCCTGAGGTTTGAGCTGGGCGCAACGCGTATCACGAGCGTGATGCTGATGATGCTTTGCCACAACATCCGAGGAGGCCGTGTGCGTCAGGCTCCAAGACGACAGCGCGGCTGACAAGCAAAGGCCTGAGGCCGGTGATGGGGTGCGGGTGGCACTCACGAAGGAAGGGTATATGCGCGATTGCAGGTTCATTTGACAGCAGCTGGGCCGTCAAACAAACGCGCGTACCGGATTAATTGATGTGATGATGGGTTTGGGGGGAGGGGTAGAAATGGCGTGTTGGATGAACAGGACGATGCAGGGAAAGAATGTGCGAAAGGACCGCTGAAGAGGAAAAAGTGTGTGGGTGAGCGATCGAGGAAGTCCGGGTCGTGATGATGGAGGGAGGATCTGGGTTGGTGGAGGTAGGTACGTGGGTACCTTGGTACTTTGGGTACCTGCTGGGGTGTGGCCCTTGCTAGGTACTGCTGTAGTCGTGACCGGGGGGTGGCAGGGTGGGGATGGAGGAGGGGCCACCAACGGTAATGCTGCGGGAAGACGTGGTGATGATGAGCAAGAAGGAAGCAGTGATGGGCGACGAGCTGGCAGAAAATGGCAGGGCCTGGCAGGCTTGTGGGGCCGGCTCTCTGACGCATCCAAGACTGGGGAAATTTTTCGCGTGGACTCGGGAGGAAGGCACCAGTGGCAGGTCGGCATTGGTGGTAGAAGGGGGCGAAGCCTGCCCTCCAAGCTTCTTGCCCTGGCCGGTACAGGGAAGGTGCGAGGGAGCCAGCTGTGACTCAGGCAGACGGGAAGACGCGTCCTGAGGCCGACTGGCCGAGGGTGTTCGGACTCTTGCCTGCGCCGCTTGGCCGTGCCCGCCACAGCTTGCTTTTGGCGTAGCATTTGCTTCTGATGACCCAAGAGGCCGAACAGCATTGGGTCGGCAGCTCCAAAAGCACGGTTCTTGACATGGTGAGACCGTCTCCCATCAGCTCGCGCAAACCCAATCGCCTTTTTCCAGGCCTCAGCTGCTGTCAGGGGCATGCACGACCTCCATGAAGGTATCTCGCTCAGCAAGCTGGACTTGGAATTGGACATGGGCCCCCGATTCAGGACGTCGTCGTCGAGTCGCGCTGGCACTGGGCGCTCGATCCGCATGTCGACGTGCGCGTCATCACCAATACACCGATATCACCGGCCAGGGGCCGAGGGGGGCAAAAACATGATCACGGAGGATCCAATGCCATACTCTCCCTCCTGTTCCCGTCCAGCCGGTTCTTCCCCCGCAGATCGGGACGCAGATGCGCGCCAGGCTGCCATGGCCACAAAGCTCTCGTCACATTCAACGCTCAGTCTGATGACCATGCCATACTGGGCTTGTCGCCTGAGGATGCATTGTTCCACCGGGTGTATGCATATCTCGTACTTCGCATTGTTAGCATCCCTCCCCGACTTCGACGCTGCTGACATTGCGCGCCTTGCTGAGGGCTGTCAGAGTTCGACACCAGGAGCGGATCAGCGGGGCACGCGACAGATTCAGGCCATTCAGGGCCTTCTCTCAGGGGGCTGTCCCCTGTATTCCGTCCCCTGTAAGTCCCCCCATGGCGAGAAGAACCCGGCAGCCCTCTCGCTTGGGACCAATGAGGTGGCCATGTCACAGGGAGAAGCCGGAAGGCGCGGCCGCCCCGCCTCCCTAGTGGCCCTGTCGGCACGCACCCAGCTGTCCGGTGCCCCCTTTTACGACGATGCCTTCAACTCGAGCCCCATTGGTGAATCATCGACCCTTGGCCCCCCCCCCCCTCCGCCCCGCCATCTCTCCCAAGCTGGAGAGCAGAGATTTTCCCCTTCGACCTCGAAATGGCAGTGTTTCGAGAAGCCATCTCAGATTGAGCCCCCTTGAAATCAAATTATCCCCTATTTCGGGGAACGGGGGACTCGAGGCACAACATGGCCTCTGCGCTCTGCTGGCGAGGCAGATCCAATCTGCGACGCCCCTCTGAGACCCTGAACACGGACGAGGCGCAATCTGCTCGGTCATCTTCTCGAAGATGACAGAATGTCGCTTGTTGGCCACACAAATGGGGGACTTCTCGACCCTGTCCCGAAGCGGGTTGTGTTGTTCGCTCGGTCGGACGGTCGGTTCTCTAGCCTTCCCGCCGCATCCAGCCCGCTCAGCCCGTCCAAGGATCCAACGCGACCGAAAATCAAGCTTGCAAGGTCTCTTGGACCTTCGTTAGGGCAACTGGACCACTGGCACCCTCCACCTTTTGCCTGTCACATGGACACGGTTAACGAAAATGAACCGCCGGCGCGCGGGCACCAGGCCGTGTGTCGCCCTCTTTGCGGGACATAGTAGCCTTCCGAATACCGATGCGGTTCGGGCTTTGCGGCTTACGCCCGGGTGCCCGTCGTAGCGCAATCGTCCCAAGATAGCCAGGCGGCGGCGACTTTTCATCTGACAAGTGCCTTGCTTGGGTCGCGGAGACTTGTTTGTCCGCCGGGCACTATGCACTTGCGCAGCGCTCCTATGGATGTACATGTATGTGCGCGTGCGCGCCGTTGTGTCTGGTTGCTGAACCTTTCGTCATTCTGCATCTGCACTCGCGTGGAGATGATGGGCCATCCGCACGCGTGCGTTGGATCCCGCGTGGGGCACGCCCTGCTGCATGACGATCCGCTGGACGCTCCCACTGTCTCTCGAGCGTCCCAGGCTCGGTCACATTGTAATGAGTGCACGTAGGGGTGTTTGAGTTTCGATTGAGTCTTGAATGAAAGGAGGGGATTACTCGCTTCTACCCGTTGACAATAGACAGCAGCAAGGGAAAACCCGCCAGTGATCGCCTGGCGTATCGTTCCAACCCCAACCCCCCTTCCCCCTCTCAACATGTCTACGATCCAGATGTACCGTCCATTCAGGAGTGTCCTGGCCGTTGTTGTGTCCGCTGAGGACCCCCGACCCCTTGTATAACCATCAAACGCCGTCGCTGCAAACCGAAGCCAAAAAAAAAAAAATCTCCACCGTCCATCCCTTGCGTGCCGGCAAGGGGAAAACGGCTGCCGCATTCCAAGTGCCAACCTGAAACCACTGCATATCTCAAGATGACACCCCGTTTCCGTCGAGGAACGCCAATCTCTATAGTGTGGCCCGCGACCTGACGCTCATGAGCGGCGCAGACTTGCTCGCCGTGATGCCGCTTCGCGTTGGCTCTTCGACCTCGTCGTCGTCGGGGTCTGAGATGCCGATGCGGCTCGCGACCGCTTGCTCCTTCATCAGGGAGAGTCTGTCTGAGTCAGCATGGGGTTGCTCGTCCCAATGGGGTAACAGAAGGTTTGGGGGGGTGGGGGGTTGAACGTACTCGTCGGCGCTCACGCCAGCCAGGTCCATGTTGACCTTTTGAAAGTTAAAGGGCGCCGACTAGAGATAATTAGCAAGTCGTTCTGGCAGAAGAGTTTGTCGAGTGTGCAGACTCACGATGACAAGTCGGGGCTTCTCCTCCTTGCGCCTCGGCAGGCTCATCATCTTGTGGACCCGCATGTAGAATCCCCTGATGCCATCAGGGGAGGCCGACCTCGTCTGGGTAGCAAAGGCAACCATGATGTCGATGGTGGTGAAAGTTGTAGGGAAAAATAAGATAGGGAGAGGATTTGCGCCTGATTTTCCAATCGTCTGTGGAATAGAGAGAGAGAGAGAGTGAACGGCCTGCGTTGCTACTGCTGTTTGCTGTTGCTGTCGGTTGCTCGTGTGGCGTATGATACCACTATATCGATTTCAGGAGGGCAAATAAATTGGTGCTACCGTGGGGCGAGACAAGGACCAAGGACGATATGCCGGAGCGCGTTGTTGGTGATTGGGGGCTTGCGTTTGTTGTTTTTGTCTTGTCTTGTGGAATAAGTGAGGGTGAAGGTGTCGCAGATGCAGACACGAGGAGAGGGAATGAAAGAGTGTGTGTTGGTTGGACGAGATGGTTGCTATGACGAAAGGGCATCGAGGCAAAGGCAGGAGAAGGGACGGGTGATGGTGGGATGTATATAGCTTCCTCCCTCACGGTTCACCTCTTCCCTTGTGGTGAGACAGCCTTTCCATCGGCTGCGAACGATCAGGTCTGCGTTCCAGAGGTGGGTTGGACAGGTTCACTAGCGTCATGTACGTGTTGGGTGTAGGTGCTTAGGGAACTTTGTTCACTCTCTCTCTCTCTCACGTCCCGTCTCTTGGGACGAAAGGGGGAGAAGGGGGGGGGTGTGGGCTTGGGGACGGGCTCGTTCGAGATGAGGAATGTTCATGCGTCGCAGACGGTGTCTGCGTGCGGCGGCGTGCAGAGGGGCGGTATTGGGATGCAGGGTCCAAGGCATGACAGGGCTCGCTTGCGACGAAAGGGTGAACGATCCCGAGAACGAGAGACCGCGCGCTGTCATCCTGCGCATGTTTTTTTTTTCTTCCTTGTCATTGTCTCTGTGCAGCCGCGAAGAGAGGAGGTGAGCGCGGGTTTCTCCTTTCCTGGCCAGTGTCTGAAACCTGCCGCGTGCGTTTGTCCTCTCATGCTCCCTCATATTGTTGTTTCGATTTGGGGGGGGCGGGTGGTGAGAACGGGCCTCACCCAACCCAACCTATTGTAGTGGGTGAGCGGCTCGCCAGGTGGTAAGGGTTCTGGCCCAGGCACCATACCTTACAGCGCTTCACAGCGCGTGAGGCCTGGAGTGGGGGGAGCGGCTTCACGGTTTCAGATGCTGCGCTGGCTGGGCCCTCTTCACCCCCATTCCACCTACTCACTCGCTGCCACTCTACACCAGGCGCCCCTAAGACGACCCAGAGGGGCTCTAGATTGGGGGGGTTTGTCTCTCCTTTGGGCGACCTGCCACGCGTGGAGAGGGGTTGCGTTGGTGCTGTCTCTCTCTTGCTCGCCCGCTCGCTCGCCCGCCCGCCCCCGCCATCGTTCATGCGGGCGTTCGGTTGGATGGATTGGGGAGTGAGGGTGGTTCAAGTCAGAGGAAGCGTGTGTCGGGTTAAGATTGGATGAATGCGGGAGATGTGATGCATGGATTGGACTCGGTGGCCCGCCGTCGGTTGCCTGAATTGGGGACAGCCTGCCCGATTCAGGTTGATGGCCCTGTTCATCGTGGGCGAGCGATCTGCGCTTGCGATATTGATGGCAGATCTACTCGAGACGCTGGACTACACGCTGTAGATCATGACGGGCGGGGCCAACCAAAGTGACAAACCCGGTAGATCGGACTATCTGCAAGCACCGTTGTGGGCAAGCGGGCGTTGACCAACGTCGCGACTCACAGTCAGTCAGGGGCCTCGTGGGGTTCACAACCTCGGTTCCCTTCTCTCCTCTGGCGTTCTGTTTCTTTGCGACCTCGGACACAAGGGAATGAAGAGACACTCGCAGTAGCTTGCGCTCGTGCCCCTCACTTGGTGCTCGCATCAGCCAGCTTCCGTGTTCGTCCCAATTCCTCCGACTACCAGCGTGACGGGTTTCGGGTCTCAGACGACCTTCCAAACCGAAGCCCAAGCGCGGCAAGCGACGCTCGATGTCTGGCACCCTCTCCAGCTAGGCGTCATCTCACGAACCATGGGGAAAAGAAAACATTCAGAAAAAAAATCAGGGTCATGAGGACTGATGCAGGGACTTTAAGCGAAGAAAAAGCAAACAGTTGGTGTGTTCTGATCAGTACCGGCAAGACAAACACTCGCCATCTGAATCACGTCTTGGGAGTCTTCCGTGGTCTCGACGTCGTGCCCTGAAATAAGTCTCTCCAGGTCGGACCCCTAGTTTATCGAGATAGCCGAGGGGGCTTGGGCCTGGCCTCTGTGACGACCTCTCTAACAACTGCCGGTGTTCTCTCCCCCCTTCTTTCACGTCGCGGCCAACATCAGACCCGATGCCCCATGTCTGAGATTTTTTTTAACCATTATTTCGGGTAGTCCTTCAGATGGAAGCTCTTGAGCTTGACAAAGGCCTCGAACCCGAACCGGCTGAGCGTCACGCCCTTGCCGGAGTTCTTCCATCCGGTCCAAGCGAGATCCTAGAGGGGAAGAAAGAATGTTTGTTAGCCTGGGAAACAAGAGTTTCGAGGAACATGCCAGACTTACGGGACTCGGGTAATCAGCCCTGTTGACGAATACAGTACCGGCCTCGACGTGCTCCGCCAGTTCGTACCCCTTGTCCGTGTCCTTGGTCCAGATGCTTGCCGTGAGCCCAAATTCGCTGTCGTTCATCAGCTTGACCGCCTCCTCGTCACTCGACACCTTCTGCACAGGCAGTACCGGGCCAAACGTCTCCTCCGTCATGACCGTCATGCTGTGGTCCACGCCCGTCAGCAGCGTCGGCTTGACAAAGTTGCCCTTGGTCGGCAGGTTGGCGAACGACTCGTTCTCGGGCGTCGCATCCTTGGCGCCCTTGTCCAGGGCATCCTTGATGTGCGCTTCGACCGTCTCCTTTGACCGCTTCGAGATGACAGGACCAATCTGTGTGGCCTTGTCAAAGGGGTCACCGAGCTTGTAGCCCGCAAGGACCTTCTGCGCCGCCTCGACAAATGCATCGTGCACACTCTCGTGGACGTATACGCGCTCGAGCGAGCAGCAGCTCTGGCCCGAGTTGAAAATGGCACCGTCAACAATCTCCTCGGCGGCCCAGGCAACGTCGACGTCGGAACGCACATAAGCGGGATCCTTGCCCCCAAGCTCGAGGCCGACATTGACAATGCGGTCTGAGGCTGCAGACTGAATGGCAAGACCACCGGCGACAGAGCCTGTGAAGGCAACGGCCTTGATGAGGGGGTTGCGGACAATGGTCTCAATCTGCGTCGGCGAGCCAGAGTGGAAGTACTGCAGCACGCCCGAGGGGAGGCCCGCCTCCTCGAAGCTCTTGGCGACCTGCTCCACGATGGTGGGGGTCTGGGGCGACGGCTTCAGGATGACCGTGTTTCCGGCCAGCAGCGCTGGAATGAGCGAGTTGACCAGGATGAGGTAGGGGTACTTGTCGATGGTTAGCAAAGGGAGAGACATCAGGGGAAGGACTAGTGCAACCTACGTTCCAAGCAAAGATGACAAGAATAGGTCCCACGGGAACCTTACGAATGAAACGCTTGAACCCCTTCTCCGCCTCGCCGTCTGTGTCCTTGAGAACGTCGTCACTAATTTTGAGAAGGTAGTCGGCACGCTTGATGGCAGTCGTCACTTCGCCAGGCGTGTACGAAATGGGACGGCCCATCTGGACGGTCAACTCCTGACCGAGATCATCCTTCTTGTCAGCGAGAGACTTGAGAGCCTTCTTGACGATCTCCTGCCTCTCGGCGAGAGTCGTCTTGCGCCATGATTCAAAAGCGGTGGTGGCGGTGATAGGGAGGTTGTCTAAGTCAGCCTGGGAGATGCCACTGCGGGTGAGGATGCCCTCGTTCGTGCTGGGCGAGATGGTGGTCAAGGTTTCAAGCGACATCTTGGTCAAGCGATTTGTTTGTGTTTGTAGATGGAGAGATGAATTACGATTATCCTCTTGAAGAGGAGGAGGCAAACGTTTGTGGCCACAACTTGTCGAAGCGGTACCTGATTCAGGGCGTGTGTGTGAGATCACTGAGGGGCAACAGTGCCCCGCCATCGTACACCGGGACCGGCGGCGCCACTGGACGTTGCTCGATAAGGGAGGCTCTCCGATTAGATAAGAGCCGGCAGCAATCGCGCTTGGGATCCACCAAAAATTTGCTCCGACTCTCCTACCGCAGACTGATGACCTTCAGCATCACGACAATTCGATACCTCGTGCACTGCTCAAAATTGCTGCCTCTTTTGCTTTTCTTACGCCTTGTAGTACGCCAAAAACACTCGTCTCCAAGGCCCTGAATATGGCTCCCGAAAAGAGGAACGAGTTCCTCGACGCCGAAGACAGCGACGACGACCAGAGCCAGGGCTACGATTCAGAAGCCGAAAACCTGCAAAAAGGCGGCCGCACCTCCAAGCGCAGAAAGGTCGACGAATCCGACGACGAAGACATCCTCTCAGACAACGAGTCCGTACTCCCCAGCAACGCCCCCGACTCCGAGGCCGACGACGATGCCGACAACAGCACATCCAAGTCCTCCAAAAAGTCCAAGCCGTCCCTGCCCGCGCCGGCCTCCAAGGCCCTCTCTCACAAGAACCTCATCGCCTCCGAGGCCGCCATCCGCAAGTCCGGCGTCGTCTACCTGTCCCGCATCCCGCCCTACATGAAGCCCCACAAGCTGCGCACGCTCCTGACGCCGCACGGCGCCCTGAACCGCGTCTTCCTCGCGCCAGAAGACCCTGCGGCGCACACGCGCCGTGTGCGCGCCGGCGGCAACAAGAAGCGTCTCTTCACCGAGGGCTGGGTCGAATTCGTCAATAAGAAGGACGCGAAGCGTGCGTGCGAGCTTCTCAACGCGCGGCCGCTGGGCGGCAAGAAGGGGTCGTACTACCGCGATGACATCTGGAACCTACTCTATCTGAAGGGTTTCAAGTGGAACAACCTGACGGAGCAGATTGCGGGCGAGAACGCGGAGAGGACGAGCAGGATGCGCGCCGAGATTGCTAGGACGACAAAAGAGAACAAGGAATTTGTGGCCAACATTGAGAGAGCAAAGGTTATCGACGGTGTCAAGGCGAGCAAAGAGAAGAAGAGGAAGAGGGCGGACGGCGAGAACGGCGAGCCGTCGAAGGCTGGGGGTGCGTTGGAAGAGAGGCCGATGACGTTCAAACAGGTGTCGTTGGCGAAGAGGAACACGGGGGCAGACTCGCAGCCGGAGCACGTCACAAGGGTGCTCAGCAAGATCTTCTAAAGTAAGGCGGAAGGGAATCAAGCGTTGTGCCTTTTAATGAATATATGCATCATCAAGCGTATTCAATGGGTTGCAGTATTCACTGTGCGCCTGATCATGTCATGTCACTCATCATGCGACCATTGTCCTGATTTCGTCATCTCTCATGCATTTTTTTTTAGGCAAGGCTTCTGGTCCCTTTCCATCTACCAAGTTCCCGCACTATTCGCGGATAGCCAACTCATCCATGTCCTCCAGCAGCTCAGTCATGTCGACCTTCGGGCCTTCATCCTCGCCCTCCGTCTCCGCAATGCTCATGGCATCGGGGTCCACCCGCTGCTGCTGCTGAGACTTGTACAGCGCCATGGTGGCACGGTACTCCTCGTCCTCCTCGACATCCTGCAGGAACTGCTCGTACTGGGCATCCATGCGGTCCTGGTCGGCCTGCTTGGGCAGCAGCTCGCCCTCGTCCTTGGCCATGCGCTTGAGCTTCCACTGGCGCTTGCGGTTCTTCTTGCGGCGCGGGTAGTGCTTCTTGACGAGCATGACGTCCGGTATCCTCGAGCTGTACGTGTTGGAGGACTCGATGGCTTCGAAGTCGGGGTTGTTGAAGTTGGTGCCAGTGATCATGTAGCCTGAGGCCTGTTAGCGTTCATCCCTCAAAACCACACACGAGGAAGCATAACATACCCATAGCCGAGTCACCAGGCTGCAGCAGGTTGCCCAGATGTGTGCGCACGAAGTAGGTCGTGTCATTGACACCAAGGTCAGAGGCACGGGCGACAGTTGCCTCGGCGGCGGCCCATTTTCCGCGGGTGACGCCGGTCCTCTCAATATCCATGACGACGAACTCAACCATTTGCGTCGTGTCAGCCAACGACTGGAAGGGCGAGCGCCAGTAGACCGGCGAGCTGACGTCGGAGATCTGAAGCGTGCTGGGATCGACAAAGTACACAGAGGTACCGATCTTGTGGCACAGCACCAGGGGCGTGATGTTGCCCTGCTGCTTGGCCAGCTTTATCGGCAGCGCGACAAGGTCATCTCTGCAAATGGGGACGAGCTCGACGGACGACGAGAACTTGTAGGACTTGGTGGCGGTGTGGACATCCTGGGAGATGAGCTCCTGCGACTTCTTGACCTTGACGGGCACGACGGCATTGAGGAAGTCGACAAACTTGTCGGCCTGGTTCTTGTGCGCGAAGAAGAAGTCCATACCCGAAGGCGCCTCTTTGATGTTCAGGGTATCCTTGTGGGCACCGTGCTTGAGGATCTGCTGCTCGAGGAAGAGAAAGGTACGCTGGTGAGGGCAGTTCTTCTGTCGGACCTGCACAACGGATCTCCAGACTGGTCCATGTTAGTCGACATCTACACGAGGCGCGACCAGAGGGACGTACCGTGGGCAGTGAAACTCTTGGCGCACTCGGGGCACTGCGCATAGGCTACGACGTAGATGGCCTCAAAAGCCTGCTGCAGCAGCACGCCGTCCTGCACCTCATCCTGAATCGTGATCTTGACCTTGATACGTTTTGAATGCGGTTCGGTCCAGACGAAGGACGCGTCGATAACTCGGACTTTGTTGAGGCCTCGCAGCTTCTTCAGACAGAGGGCAAGGAGCTCGCGAGATTCGGGCTGGGCGACGATCCTAGAACACGTCAGCGACGGCCATTTTGTGAGCTGCAAGAGTGACGTACCATGACTGAGGAGGCAGCAACCAACGGTCGCAGTCACGGCAGAATGTGAGAGTGGCCTCGCGCTGGACGCCGTTGGAGATATCGCAAGTCAATCGCAGACAAGCCTGGCAAATGGTACCGGTCGAGCCGTCAATAGGAGCACCGCTGCATAGTTGTTAACACTGATGAAAGGAATGCAAGAAACGAGAGTGCAGAGGCTTACCAGTTGTGGCAGAGCACAGTGGCGACAGTCGTCTTCCTGGTGAACTCCATGGTTGGGTTCGGTGTCGGCCTGGCGACGATGTCTCGCTTCGGTGGTGGGGTTGAGCGCCGAGGGGTCGACGCAAAGATGCTCCGACACGCACAGCGGTCGAAAAATTGCAGCCTTCGAGTTGGCCTTTTGTTTTTCGGTCGAAGAGCTGGAAAGGAAAAATCTACACACACGCAAATGTATAGAATCCTCTGAAGATGGCCGGCGCCTAGTTTAAACCAGACGGTGACAATGACGAAGTGGGCGCCAGAATATCGATATGGAGGGGTTCATTCTGGATTTTTTCTTCGACTATCGCCCCCGCCTGATAAGATAGATAAGCCACTCGAGCCCAAACCACGCCAGCGCAGCCAGCATCGCTAATTGCCCCCGCCGGCCCCGCGCTCGTGTCGGAATATGAGTCACATGATCTTGAAAGAGGCAAAAGTGCGTTTCCTCGAACGATTCCCATGTGTTGCATTATGTAATACGCTTCTTACTTGTTCGTGATGATAAATCGGCTCCATCAGGCAAACTGCAGCTTCCAGAGGTCACCAAGCCGAGAGTTGTCCTCGGCGAGACCTCCATGGACGATGATCGCGTCGGTGCCATCCTCTTGGTGCGCCACATCGGCATCAAACCAGCCGCGCGAGGAGGGGGTGTCGCCCGTGAAAGCGAGCTTCGTCCAGATTTTGTGGTGAATGTCGAATGCCCAGACATCAGAGAGCATCTTTCCTGCTCCAGCGTGACCGAGTGCACTGGGATCCCGTTCGCCAAAGAGCGTAACAAGCTGATCCTTGCCTTGTGACTGGACGGCGACGAGAGCAGCGACACTGCGCGCCTCGGGCCCCTGCACGCCATCTGCCTGGAACGAGATGGTCGACCATGTCTCCTTCGCAATGTCGAACACGTCAATGGCCCCGCCCTGCTCATGCTCGCCATCGAACCCGTTCATTCTGTAGATTTTCCCCTTGGAAAATGCGATCGATGTTCCTCCGCGTGCGGGCGGCGGGGCGGCCGGCAGGACAGTCCAGATCCTCGACTCAACGTTGAAGGACCAGAGGTCTGCCTTGCGGCCCTTCTCGGGACATCCAGCGTGGAGGTAGATGGTATCCACGCCATTGGAGGTCGCTGCGTGATAACTTCGCCCATCGACAAACGGCGCCGACGGGTCCGCTGGCGTGATCAGCGTCCAGCTACTGTCGGCGGGCGTATACCGCCAGACGGCGCCGTTTTCTTCAACGGGCGCCATGGCGATGCCGCCACGGCCGGAGAACAGATAGAGGGCATTCTTGATGGCCACGCACGATGAGCCGACGCGAGGCGAGGGCGCATTCTGGGGTGCCGGAATGGTGTGCACAGACGACGTGCCTGGGCATGTTAGCCGTGTCGCTCACACGGAATGAGAGCACTGCATGCCTTCGCCCAGGCGAACGATATCGAGCTGGTTATCGATGGGTTCTCTGGGAAGGAGTTCTCCGCCGAATATGTACGCAGCCGATCCGAGCACGGCAATGGTTTGAGAGGAACGCTGAAGCCGTTGGCTCTCAGCAAGCTTGATCCACGAGGCTTCAATGTTGGCCATGATTAATGAGGAGATATTCGCTGTACACTGGAGCCGAAATTGACCGCAATCCACCGATGTATCGTGATTGAGATACGATGAGATACCCTGATGGTCGTGGCTGGTCCTTGATCTGCAACCCCGCCACGCGCTAATTCCGCTGTTCAGCCTCCTCGGTCTCCGAGTCGTTGAACAACACTAATTACGTAGATGCCCGTGTATCACGAGATCACCATAATGCGGTGAGGTTCAGACCTACCTTGACTTCAGCCTTGACGTTGCACTGGCTCGATTGCTTTTCACGTTGAATGATACATGAGAATAATTGTCCAAGCTCGTCTATCTGTCTGAATGGCCAGTTCTCTATAGATTACGTAGTCAAATTTGTTAGATCTCTGATGGGTTTATATTACCCTGTTCCAATAGCCGTTGTGCCAAGAAGATAATCACCAGCCCGACCCGGGATATTCTTTGTAGCTGCGATCTCAAAATCACCTGACTATCCTGAAGACGTCAGAAATGAACACGAGTTCAAGAGGAAGTCATAAGCGTAGTGACGCACTGATGAGCCGCTTTGCACAGTTGCTCACTGGGTTAATATCAAACACCTCGTCAGGACTGCCACCTAAGCCTCATTCCGGTCGAGCTATGAAGTCTTCCATGCACATGACATTTGTTTAATTCGGCCAACACACATTCATTTGTCTCGCCCGCAAGGCTCAAAATATGTCCCACAACGATATCTTCCCATCCTTACTGCCCGCCGCCAGCCAGTGTGCCGCCTCGGCATGCGCAATCCGCCTCTCCCTGACACTCACCTCTCCCGCCCTCCGCACCACGGCGCCCCCACGCTCCTCAACACCACCGGCCGCCTGCGGTGCCTTCAGCGCACTCGCAAACGCAACAGCATAGCACCCAACCTCGTGCCACTTGAGCACGGCGACCTCCTTCATCGTCTTGCCCGAGTACACGCGCACCATGGCGTCCCACCCGCCCGTCGCGAAGACGCGCCCGTCGTCCCGGAACCGCAGGCTCTGCTGGCCCGAGTGCTTCGTGTTGACCACCTTGAGCGGCTGCTCGAGCACCTCCATGCCCGCGGGCGGCGGCACGGGGTGACGCGCGACGACGGCGTCGGCCGAGGACGTCACAAAGGAGAGCCCGTCGGGGCTTACGTCGAGGGAGAGCACAGGCTGGCTGTGCGGCTGGGTGCGGTACGTCGTGTTCCACGTGCCGCTGGCGGCGGAGAGGTGCATCGCTGTCGTGACGCCGTTTTCGTAGCCAGCGAGGAGGGTCAGGGAGCCGCCTTGTGGGACGAGGGCGAGAGCCATGACCATGCCGTTTTGGCCCGGGGACTTGACCGTGTGGCGACGGGTCTGGGTGGGGAGGTGGTAAATGTCAATCTGCTCGTTGGTCAGCACGTGGCATGGACAGCAATTGAAAGGCGGAGATTGCTATTTTCAGCAGTAAATGGGGGACAAGGCTAGCGAGGCAGGGTGCACGTACCGATTCGGAGGCGAGCGTGTTGGGGACGGCGAGG